TAATTTTATATATGTAAAAAATGTACACGTGATTGAAAAAAATAAACCAGCCTTGTTTGTATGTAGACTGTCTCAGAGTTGATAAATGAAGCTCAACCTCAGAATTTTGCTCTTTTGACTTGATTTAGTGATAGTTCCTTCTTCCCACATCTATAAGGATCATCCTTATATTCATTCTCTCTCTCTCTCTCTCTCTCTCTCTCTCTCTCTCTCTCTCTCTCTCTCATTGTATGCACAGGTGTATGCATAGGTGAACACACCTGGAGGCCAGAGACCCTCAGGTGTCTTCCTCTATCACATTCCAACCTACACCCTTGAAACAGGATCTCCTGCTGAACCTGAATCTACGTTGGTGGCAAGCAAGCCCCATGATCCTCCTCTCTTTGCCTCTTTAGTATAACCCTCTACAGGGTTGTGAATTTTTTACTAGGGTGCTTGGAATTTGAACTCAGGTCTTCATGTTTGAGCAGTAAGCACTCAACACTGATCCATCTCCCGATCCCTTCATATTCCTTTAATTGACATAAACTTATTTGTTTTTGTATATTTAATAGTATGTTAAGGTAACTGAATTGAGAATTATTGGACTGTGTTCTAATTGGGGTATGGCTATTATTTTTCACTTGTAAAAGTTGAACATTGAAAATTATATGTACACATATATAAATTATAAGTGATTTTTAAAAATATTCAACCAGCCTTGTTTGTATGCAGCTGGTAGTTTCTATGACCTTAATTAGTCATCTATAAACTCATCCTAAAGATGCCCTTCACTAGAACAATATTTGGACTTGGCTACAGTAATTTACTTAATTTATCTTAAATTTGGTTTCAGTGAGCAACCCTAATTAACCTGATTTTTTGCTGATAATCACTGTCAATGGAATCAAATCACAAATCCGGGGATGGATTGAGCGGCACCCAGAAGGAAGCGGCCCTCCGTGCACTGATCCAGCGCACAGGATATAGCTTGGTTCAGGTAGGAACTTCTTGTGACACCTGCTGAGACCCAACACTGAACCCAGAGTGCTGGGAATACCAGTGCTCCTTGATGCAGTATGTGAGTGGTCCTTATGTAGCTTTAGATAGAGCTTTACAGAAGAGAATTGCATCATTTCAGCTCCGTAGATGAAATTGTTTCTACTCTGGATTATGTTCTTAACTTTAACTTGTTGCTTGAAAATAGTATCCACAGTCATAGGGAATATCACAGTTAAAGAACATTTTAAAGTATAAAATTCCCAGTTCTTAGTGAGGGAGAGGTTAATTAATATTTCAGGAATTGCCAGAAAACAAACTCCTCAGGAACTCACCTTGTTTTCCAGAGAGATGTCTGCAGATATAGGAAGACTTATAGATGAGGGTTCCAAGAAAGTAAGATTTTGTCAGCCTGGCTACTCCAGTTTGATTTGCAGAGTGCTTACCCATGGAATCAAAGATCTATAACAATAATTTCTGTCCATGTTAGAACTTTTGGCAAAAAAGAGCCACAAAAAGCCTAGTCTACAGCAACTATTTGAGGAGTATTGTTGTCATGGTAATACCTTCTTTGAAGGATGTGTGCTTCATTAAGAAGCAAACTAGTGTTGTGTGTATTAAAATTTTCCTGTTAGCATACCTAATGTTTTTCATAGCAATGTATTTTAAACCCCCAGCTTTTTTTTCCAAAAATATACTTTTCCAATAAACCCAAATCTAGGCAACATTATGAATACAAATATTATATGTAAATAATAATAAAGTATGCCACATTCCACTTTATTATCTGCTCTTTTGTTAGGTTATTGGAAGTGTCCTAGATTTAGTATGCTAATTCTATAAATCATAAATGCTTTGTTATGCATAATACAGCACTCCAAGTTATTTATATTTTTCATACTAATGAAGAATGCTATTTAGGATTTCTTACTATTTCAAAGAATTTTTACTATTTCATGGCTGGCTTTTTAAATTTTCATTTGAGTCAAGGGAGGAACTGGTATATTTGTTTTAATACTTAATAAAAATCCAAGTTATTTTAGAATCAGTAAACTGTAAATGTTTTTATCTCTAAAATTAATGTGCTTCAAAATCAATGAATAATTTAAAATATACACAGCTTTCCACTACACTAACAGAGTAAAGTCAGAGGAAATTGTAAAGAATTTAGTTTACAAATATATTTAAAGTGACTTTGTTTCATATGTGCTCAGGCACAGTTAGTTGTAAAAAGGGGGGGTTACCCTTTTTCAATCAATAAATACATCCGTAAATATTATAAACTAAAAAATGATTTCATATCAGTTCATTTTTATTTTTAGCTTTCCTCAGGCCTGAAAAATTTATGAAGGTGAAGTGGCAGTGGAAAACATTTCAACCCTTTTAAAATCCATTAGTCAAACTTTACATATGTGAAGGTGATCCACTTCTCTAACTGTATGATCAAAATATGTAAAATCCTATCTAAAACAGCATTTGTCACTCCTCACCATCACAATGTAAAGAAATGAAAGTTAAGGGAATGATTAAGTAACCTGTGAATATATCATCACGATCTTCAGTGAGGAGAACTTAGGGGAAATAATCCTTCAACAATTAAACTGCCCATTTAACTTTACTCTGAATACTGGTTCTCTCCCTCAGACACAATAAGGCTCGTGATTTTTAGCAACTTTTAGGTAATAAAAGTTTTCTCACTGTTAAGATTTCCAGTCAAGGTGTAATTGTATAGACTCAATCTCATGGTGATTCCTATACATGTCAGGGTAGAAAGTGATTTCATTTCCTGATTTCTCCTTACTATTTAAATACCAATTTGTTAACTGCACTTCTCATGTGGAGTTGAAGCAGGGGAGGGATGAAAGTGAAGGAGAGCAAGAGGGAGGTTGTACTCGATTAATTCTGGCACAGAGGTATTGTGTTCAATACCTCTGAGCCTGAGGTATTGAAGGTAATAGGGAGACTATAGAATTACCAAGGATACCCTGATTCACTGCCAGGACCCTTACGTGGTCCCATTTGTATTGATCCAGACTTCTGTCCACGGAACTGTTTTAGACACCAGTATCCTCTCAAGAGGTGATTATAATTTTAGAGTTTAGCATACCAAAGCATTAAAAGCCTATCTTGTTGTAATATTATTGACTTAATATTGTTAGCAGAATGACTATTGGATCCAAAGGTCTCTAATAACATGAAAGCCAAGCATTCCAAAAAAAAAAAGTTGCTTAGATCTAAATCTTCTAATCAAAGTGTTAAATATATTTATAAATATATCAGTATATTTATAAATTTTAAGATATGTATATATGATTAACTAGTTTTGAGTTGGCAAATCTCTCCCAGTTTTTACTACATAATATGGAAAGTGACTCACAATTTTAAATCAGAAAGTCTATAACCTCACCTGTCCCCTATAACATCTAAGTGTAAGATCTTGAATGAGTTCCTTAACTGATCTAGACCTTAATTTCCCCCAGAAGTCACCTAAGTCATATCTGACACCATTAGCATTGATTTCATGATTTGTTCTTCTAAATGTACTCACTGACCAGCTAATTGGACTATTTGATTAAAAGAATAGACCATATGTGTATCAAGACAAAGTCCCAAATTCTATAGTTCAAGGAAATCTCTTCAGTCTTCCCAGTACTTCAGTGTTCCTATGCTGGAATTGAGGAGTGATTATCAAAAAAGCAGAAAGCAGCATCAGGTTTACATTTTTTAAAAAACAATCACTGTAGAAAAATAAGTTAAACATCTCATACAATTCAAGAAGCCCACCCAAAAGATGGAATTTTTGAAATGTTATGGTATTAGCTAACCTTTATTTTTGAAGGATTTGCTTTTGCTGTATCTTTCCATTCTCTGATATTAAATTCAAAACACAGAGTGACGAATTTGTGCCCTCTTATCACTAGCAGGGCAAATACAGCTATCAAAAATAGAATTTGACAAGTTACTTAATAACATAAGCTAGCCTTTAATGTGGCAACTGATGCAACAACCTGTACTCAGAGTGTACAGGTTAAAAGCAAGACTTGGGGCTGGGCATGGTGGCACAGGCCTTTAATCCTAGCTCTTGGGAAGCAGAGGCACACAGATCTCTGTGACATGGAGGCCAACCTTGGATAGTCAACATAACAAACTCCAGAACAGCTGGTGAGGCAGGGCTACATAGTAAGACCCTATCTCAAAAAGAAAAATCAAGAAAAAAGCATGAGTTGTAATGTCTTTTTTATAACTGCATACCCCTGAATATTGATGGCTGGATGTTTGATCAAAGCACTTCCAAGTCCAAGAGACTCAATGCACCACTGGGCATACAGCAACTTTTAATAAACAAAATTGTATAAAGCGAACAAGTTAAACTTTAAGCTTCATAGTTGCTACATGTTTCCAAATAACACTTTAAGAAACCATTTACATGGGAAATTAAAATTTAGAAAATAACAAAATGTACTATCTGGTTAAGTATGGTTTTCTGTACCTGTTGCCCTTCTTTATTTTCCACAATTCTACCCCAACTAAAGATTATTTGAGGGGGAGAAAATCTCTCAAAGTAGAAAAATATGCCCAAGCATATTTGTCTAAAATATGTCCAAGCAAATTTCATGGAGAAAACTTCACTATCTCATCTGAATTGTGGAGTCCTAGGATCATTAGGTTACTATCTTTAGTTCTTTAAATTTGTTTAGTATCAATATAGTCTAACCTTTCTCTTTTCCAGCTAGAAAATGGCTCTCAAATTATATAATTATATACCAAAAATTAGTAAATCTGATCCATGAGCCAAGTGTGACAACAGCCTGTATCAGCACTCAATGTAGGCTACAAATGGATTTTATGTTTTCAAGAGTTGTATTAAAAACTAAAGCCTAAAACATCAACTATCTGGCTTTTCACAGAAACCTGTTTGCTGATATCAGTTGTAGACCTTTATCTAAAACCTGTGCTAGAAGATAATCTACATATCTTGGGAAAATTTCCAACATAGGAAAGTGTGTATTTCCAAAGAAGGTAGACACAGCCTTCTTCATCTCATCTATTCTGTGCCTACTGAAGCACTGAGCTCTTTCAAAGAGAAATATGGTTTCTATTTTGTGAAGATTATTCCCATAGGGAAACATAAAATAAGCAAGCAAATAAGCAAAGTAATCAAAGCTAGTAAATGCATTGAATATTACTCATAAACTGAGTTGTGTAACAGAATGACAGGTGGCCTCCGTCAGACAGGATGCCAGTGAAGCTGAAATTTACCAGGTGAGAGAAAGCAAATTTTGCAAGGAGTCAAGGAGATACCAGCATCCCTGGCAGAGGGAACCACTTCCAAATTAAAATATTTGTAAAGTGCATAACAACTCTGAGGAAGTGAAAACATTTATTTCAAAAGATTGCAGCACACGGGAAACCAGTCAGTTGGTCAGTTACTCTTATGAACTCACAGTAATGGTAACAGCATGCACAAAACTCACGTAAACTCAAGTCAGACAAAACCTCAGCATAGAAGTGGGGAGGTGGGTAAGAAGCCCCAACTTTAGCCAAGTAACTATTAGCAACCAGTAGCTGGTAGGAGAGGGAGAATCAGTTTTTTAAGGGTGTGATACTAGATACGGTAACCAGTTTCCAGGGTATGAATTCATATCAAAGGGCATTTGGGGACACAAATTTTACTCGATAGGCCTTTCTATATGACAGCGTACATGAAATTGGGTGGGGGGGGGCATTAAAAGGGGTGCAAATGGCAAGGCAGTCTAAATATGATCAAAATGTGTTGTAGAAATTCACAAAAATTCAATAAAAATTTTTTAAAAGCTTGCAGCATATAAATACCTAAGCAGGCTCCAGGTTCCCTTTCTTCCATGAATCAGTCATGAGTGTGATTTCCTGGAATTAGCCCATGTGTTTAATTCCTACCTTTCAAACTTTGCTCTCCACTGTCCGTGCAGGCTGTTTATGGGGGGTTTCAAAGGAAACATGTGTTTTTATTCTAACTTGTTT